CGAAGAGTTTCCTTCCTCCAGAAGGTGGACAAGCTGATCCGCAAAGTGGCAGACTATGCCCCAGTAGATGCCGCTGTTGACCAGAAGGCCAAAAGATTTAATTCACGACTGTCTGCCGCCAGTGTACTCAGCAGGTCCGAATTAAGCATTTCCACTGGCAAATCCACGACCAAAGCACGGATTGCGTCATAATATATTAACATTTTGTAGCGAGGATCGAAAACTGGCATCGAACTGGTACAAATGCAAGTGATTTAAAGTTAGGTGGCTGGGTAACTCAAAAGGTCATAGCAGTGAGCTGGAACCCCTGAGATCTTGTGCTTGCATCTCGGCAGCTGCCTGTGATGTTATTGTCTCAGCCCGGTCACCAGTGGGTGCAGAAAAAAGCCATCATCCTATTACATTTAGCTGCGCACTTAATGTGGAATGCAGCTCAAAGAATATTGTTTTGACTGCCGTGCAATGAACATTCCTCTTATAGTAGGTAGGAAAACGTGCTGCTGCATTTACCAGACAGTTATATTCCTTTCCGTGAGTCGTTCTAGAACACAAAGGTGCACTGGGCTGAGAGTTTCAAATTGATTATTTATCTCATCACGTGATGCTGGTAGTATAATCGAGAAAATTTGTTGGAAAGATTTTTAAAAACGTTAGTCAGCAGATAATATTTCCACCTTGTGCTTACATACGCAGTCTCGCCTGGTTTCCTTGCAGAGGAGAAGGCATGCAGTGTGCACGGCGCACCCGTGAGGTGTGTCGATGGCAAGATTCACGACCTAGTCATCAACGTTGACGGAAACACAAGATAAGGCTGCTCCGCGCCGGGGTCTGCAGGTCTCTTTTTCTTTTTACTATTAATCAGTCTCATTGTGTTCACTCGATTTACTACTGCAGTTATATGTTACGAATTTTCCTTGAGGCCATTCTAGTTCTACGTAATCTGAACATAATTAGGATGTGTTGTGTGCCGGTTCCAGGCTGTGCAGCGAAGAAGGGAAAGTCAATCTGTATTACACCGTGGAGAACTCTCGCACATACCACAAGGAGGAGCCCAAGTGCATTGAAATTGACGATTATGTAAGTATGTTGAAAAGTGGTATTCCTGGCCAGCACCGTTGTAGTCATTGTGGTGAAGCCGTGCATCACCTTGTAGTTCAGCACTATCCAACTGTATGCTTACATCTTTTTTTTTAATGCCAATTGTACGTGATATTCCTGTCTGTGCATCTGTCACTGTGAATGTGCATAGAATGTGGAGGCTCTGGAACACCTGATTCATAGCTACCCCAAGTTTGTGACTGTGGATAGCCTGCCTTGTCCTGCCATCGAAGAAAAGGTAGGCGCTCTCTACCGGGAGGTCTCATTAGCCCTGCCTCAATATCGTTTCGGTGAATGTTTTATAATTCGGTAGAATTTTTGCAAACTTGTTTTCTGGCTTAAGATTTTGGGGATGACAACAGTGGTATAAGGTTTTGACCAGTGCGAAGATAAATATTTTATGACGGTGAAACATGTGCATAGCTATTATAATGCTGTCAGAAATTTGTGCCTAGAGAAATGTTACTGAAAATATGTATGTGCATATTCTTGGGTCTTTCGGTAAAGTCACGTAGATAGTTGACTTTACCGAAACACCCAAGAATATGAATTCCTGCAGTCACGAAAGCTTTAAGTCAAGATTTATTTATGTGCATGCTTGTGAACTATTCGTATCGTTATTTGTTCAATGAAAATTATTTCCTGTCTATTTGCAGTGCAACCTGACCATGGACCTATTTGAAAAGGGACTCTTAACCTTCAAGGAACCACTGAAATCAGCATAAATACAGCTTTTAAAAGACGTTCAACCCTCACTCATTTGTCAAAAAAAATATCCAATCTGTTTTAATACTGGTAGGAACCACCTGGTTCCACCAGCCCACGGGATTATTGTGTCCGTCCGTCGTGCATCCAAAAATGGGAGGGGTGGGGCTGGGTGGAGAGGTTGGGGAGGGGCTGGGTGGGGAGGATGGGGCTGGGTGGGGGTGGGAGGGGTGGGGCTGGGTGGGGAGGGGCTGGTCACCCCGTGGTGCCCTTATAAAACTCAACGTTTAACCTACTCACGCCGGCTTGTGCCCGCCCTCACAGTCGGCTATATTTGCGGAATACACCACACTGCCGTTGACCCTGGCCATTGACCGAGCAACCCAACGTTCCTACCAGCTCCCTCTGCGGGAATGTGTTATTACAATTGATGGCTTGTTTTTAAGTACAATATTCTCTAAATACAATATCATGAGTATAAACCACTGGTAATATACTGTTAATCACAAAATCTTGGATCTTGTGGTTGTGATAAACTGGTGAATAAACTGGGCTCGGAGGTGTAAATATGCCATAAAAATGTTTATTTCTTTCAGGAATACTATTTTACCGCCAACATCTTGTGTAATATTAAACTGTCCGTTTTAATTTGTACGGAATATGAAAATCTGCATTTGACAAATTCCACCAAAACTGAATGTGGCACACCTCACACATTGGAAAAAAAATAAGAGAAAATAAACTCCAGCAATACTACAACATGGTTAATCGTTATAGACCTCGCCAAATCCATTAAAAACCGCAAGCTTTTGACGTATGCCCCCCACTACATGAGCACGCTGCTCGAGCAATGAATGTGGTCACATGCTGCTGCTGCTGCGTGCAGCATGGTGTGCCAGGATACTCCTCCGCTTCTTCTCATAGGAGCTGCTCGTATTCATGTAATCTGTCCATGCGGTGGGCAGAATGCCAACCAGAAACAAGATGGCCCTCTCCACGAATGAGCACACAAGGTAGCAGGCACTTGGGTTATTCGTCGTAAGCGCCTCAACGATTGCGTCTATCACCAGGCCGGTGTCCCTGTTTTTGAAGGCACCTATATCACGTGCCGCAGCCCAGTAGGTGTCGATATATTCGAGGGTGAACTGTGCCTTCTGGCACTCTGTGAGGTTGTTGTGAATGCTCTTGGAGTCCATGTTCTGCAATATCTTCGTTTGGCCAAGGAAGCTCCCAGGCTCTATAAATATCACCTGTTGATAAAAAAAAATGTACACGTTTAACTGGCATACCAACGGAATTATTCTTTGGGGAATTTATGACCAGTGTGGTAAAGTGCAGTCGAACGTCCTTCAGTCTGGCAGTGGATTGACTGTTTATTAAAATAAAATTTGAAAAACACTGCAGATAATTTTGTGAAGAGAATATTTGCAATTATATTACGTTTAGAGTAAAGGTACAACATGAATGGACACGGAATCTTGCTGCTCTACCATCAGGATGCGTATGTTATTTTTTTTGTGAATTTGTTTGCGGAGTGCTTTGCCTTGCGTCATGTGCTGTTTGAGTCTTGCACATCTTATGATTAGTGCTTTATCGTAAGAAAATACTAGACTGTTGATCTATCAGTTTTGGCATACAGTTGAGGTAAGTCATGCCAAACCATCACCTTGCTAAACATAGCAGGGGTCACCAAAAAGATTTCTAAAATCATGAGCAAACACAAGATCCAGGTTATTGAGTACATAAAATTCGTGATTTGATCCCATCTGTGAAGAATGTGATTCCTGACATGCAATACCCCGGCGTCTACAAACTAAGCTGTGCCTGCGGCAGTAACATTGGGGGAACTAAGCGACATGTCTTGGACCATGTTCGTGAGCATAAGGCAGATCTGAAACACGGTAGGACCAATACCTTGGCCGTGGCTGATCATTGTTTTAATGCGGTGGGGTCACGAAATTGATATCTTCAAGACGAAGGTACTTTGCAAACCCACTGGCTATCAACAAAGATTTGTTCATGAAGCCATCCAGATAAATAGACACAATTTCAACCGAGAAGATGGGTACAAACTGAGCAATCATTGGAAGGACGTTATTAACCAGCTTAAGTCATAACTGGCTGTGATGTTTTCATCCTACCTTCCGATGTTAGTAGTTATTTTCGACTTTTGATTTTACATTAGTTAAATGTCCCACATTAACACAGCTACCGTCGCTCGTGCCCTCGATGTGACGGCGGCTCTGCGATCTTACATTGACATGCTAATTTATCACTTTGACATCACTAGCCCCGCTCACTTCGTTTATGATTCTTGGGCTACACTCATTTCAAACCTTTAAAACAGCCTGCCTCAGCAGTTTTCCCGTCTTTTTTCTCCAGATGACGATTGCTTGTGTTGCGATCGAAACGTAGTTTTTTTCAAATTATTTTGACTACCGAAAGACCTAAAGAATATAAAATTGTCAACTTTAATGATTTAAAGTAGAATATGCAAAAATGCTTCTTTTACATCATTAAGAAGATTGATCAATTTTGACATTGATGCCTACAGATGTTTGTGCTTGGTGTTTTATAATTTTACACTGGAAATTAGGGTCTTATACCTGCACGATAAAAATATGCATCATGAAATAATGTATGTATTTTCAATGTCATGTATGATCATTTACATCTTGTCAGTGTCTCTCAAATCATCCGCATGTGTTGGTGAAGGAAAACTTAAGTTTGGAACCCTTGCACGTGACTTTAATGCGCCCCAAATGTTACACTGTAAAAAGTGGTCTTCACCTTAACGTCCCACTTTTGCATTTCAAGTCGCAGGCAGCTTGAGAACATCTCCACACCGCTCTTGGTGATGCAGTAGCTGCTTATGAATGCGGAGGGAAGTCTGGCTGATATGCTCGATATGTTTACAATTCGCCCTGCATCACACGTGCAACGTGAACATGGAAATGCGAAGGAAAAATATTGAAAGCATTCATTTTAATTTCTCATCCGATACAGTGGTCCCTCGGTTAACGATATTAATTGGTTCCACGAAAAGCATCGTTAATTGAAATGATCGTTGATTGAATATAGGAAATACATGTTAGAGGCTTAATTTGTTCCAAGGCGATCGGAAATTGACCTTTTTCACCCTGAAAACATAGTTTCTAATATTTAAACATGCTTATTTTAATAAACGTTATAAAAACATTAAAGCATTAATATTAATAGAAACATCGATAAATAGAATAGAAAGGTTCATAAATAGAGCATAAAATAAAAGTCACCATTGGCTAGGAAAAGCTAGCCAGTTGCTCAAAACGCTCAAAAGGGTGTTGCTGATTGGCTGAGGTGTGCCGAGTCCACTTAGGAGCTCTCCGATTGGCCGAAATTGGCAGCGGCGTGATATTGTAAAGATATCGTTAATCGAAGATGTATCAAATCTTCTTTGGGTATTTCGGTAAAGTCACGTAGATTGAAATAAAATAACTAACTGACGATTCGATCGCAACACAAGTGGTCGTCATCAGGAAAAGGGGGTTAGCCTCTAAAGCCAAACTGTTTATAAAGGTTTAGAGATGGGCGTAGCCAAATCAGTTTAAGTCATAACTGGCTGTAATGTTGCTATTTTAGACCTGGCAGCCCTTTAATTGGTGGAAGGCCACCACCAGGACCATCACTGCCCACTACTACCATCCCCACTAGCAGTAGCCCTTTATTAGTGGAAGCTCACCATCAGTGCCGTCGTGACCCTATATGAGTACCATCACCTCTAGCAGAAACCTCCATTGTCAACAGTGTGAGTGTGTAAAGCGAGGTGCAAATATTACTTGCCAGCCCTTTAATTGGTGGAAACCCACCACCAGCGCCGTCGTTGCCCTCTACGAGTAACTTCACTTACATTAACAGCTGTCCCGCCCATGCTGCTGACACTTGGGCTACACCCATATCAAACCTTTATAAACAGTTTACTTTTCGAGGCTAACCCCATTTTCCTGATGATGGCTGCTTGTGTTGCGATCGAAACGTCGTAGTTTTTTTTTACCTATCTACGTGACTTTACCGAAAGACCCAAAGAATACGAATATGTATCGTTAATATAAACTATAGGACCCTATGGGAGGCGGATTGTTAATCGAAATTTCGTTAATCGATTTTGTAAACTGGGGGACCACAGTATATGGTTACGTGTTTTAGAACATTCATATTTTGACATTTCTCTCGTAAGATGTCAGATATTGACGATCCAAGAATGGCATTACCAGTTTACATACGGCTTGCCCATATGGGTGACGAAGATGAGCACGACATTTAACTTACCCAATCCATAAATCAAATGCTGTCCATTTGGTGTACGTCAAGCATCAACTAATCTGAACATGCCCTGTTGTCTTCTTTGGTACGGATATTAATTGAGTTGCCACAAAAGATTGATGTTTAAGTTGTAAAATGAGCTGGTGGCTTCCAGGCGCAACAAGTGAATCCCACTCGTGCACTTGGAGAATGTTCACAGTGGATAGTTAATTGTATCTTTACACTTTGAGAGTGCATTGCATTTGGCCGATTTTATTTTTAAATGATGCAAGGTAGCCAATTATGTGGCGATGGCTCGATGGTGGGGCCTTCCATGATCTGCTTATTCAAGATGATGGCGTTCTCGCAACTGTGCTTCTACCAATCTTCGATGCTGCCTGGCTGAGTCTGCCTTGTTTCAGAATGGCAATGTGGTGCGTTCAGTGGCGAGTAGTATATGGTCTGTGGTGTCGAGGGAGTGTCATGTCACCCGTCTGTAGGAATCTGTTGGCTGCTCAGTACATAATTTGAGTACTGTATAAGTTTGATACATGCTTGCATACACAAGTATACAGACTTAAAAAAACATTTAAACAAGATATGCAAAGTTGAATGTATTTTACGTTGTCTTATCACGAAACACTGGAAGGCACAGTGCCGTGAGAAAAGCTAATACACAAGCATAAACGGTACAGAATAGAGTTAATCAAAGGTCACCTTTGCTGGCCTTTATGAGTGGCAAGAAGGCCAGTGTGGTGCGGATGGTGCCCCACAGGTTCACGTCGGCCACTCGCTGGTACGAGTTCAAGTTGGACATCTCCACTTCGCCCATCTGTGCAATGCCTGCGTTGTTCACTACGGCCCACAGGTCTGAAATCGATGGAAAAAAATGGAAAATGCTTTACTCAAGTTTTTTGGTTCAAAAACAAGTAGCTGGGTTATAACACAACTAGAGAACAAAAATGACTTGGGTATGCAACGTGTCACAATGTGCATACTTTGGATGATTTGGATTCCAGTAGCTTCACTCAAACTTGTACTGTACTGTGAGGTTGTGGTTAACAGTTGAATTGTAATGCACTAGTGGTATTGCTATTATTGACAATTCTGTATAGGATTTTTTTTTAACTGACCTGAACTTAATGTTATATTTTACCAGGTTTTAATTTGCACAAAAACAATGGCTTGCGCGTGTTTCAATCTTTCCAGTGAAGGCACTCCTTAGTGGAGCCAGTGTGCTACCTCTCTCTGGTCACTTTGTGCCCTCAAATTACTGCTAGTTTTGGAAATCGACACCACAATCACACGTACGGTACTGTGATAACTGGACTACTCTTCAACACACCGGCGGGCTCAAGTAGTGAACTATTTGTTTTTTGTCAGTGACACTTTTTTTACTGATTGGCCGTGTCGGGTGGTGAAGGGTTACGACACATTTATAAATAACGTTATCTCACCCAAAAACGTTTATTATGAATTATTATGAACTGGAACACGTTACGTTATGGTTTATTTAGCAGTACTGTAGTACTCCCATGGTTAAATATGCAGTGGCCTATAATCACGTAAAAGCACTAATTTCAGAAGCTGACTGAAGTACAGCATTGCCTAAACAGCCTCCGTGACCGACACGTGGGTGCAGTGCAGGCCATTCCACAGTGGACCGATAACGAGCTGTAAAATATACACGATACAATGGACTGTACTTTGTTCTGTTAGCAGATAGACCAGGAACAAAATATCTTGCACAATGCATATTGAAGCAATTTGTCCACAGTTGAGTACAGTACTGACATCTGAAAACATCTCGCATTTAAACAAGGCTTAGCTTGTTGGATGGCCAAGGGTTGCAAACCCGAAATAGGGGAATTGGCGTCGACGTTCAGGTGGCAGGGATGTATTTGTATTACGATCTCGTGGTATTGTGTTTAAACGCACAGTTGTGATCAAGATGTCTTGCGACACCCAATTTATTGACCCCTAACATGTTTTGCTTGGCATATTAATTTCTGTTTGAATAAACCTTACTTTAAAAATCCATAATAAAGATGGTTTGTTTGTTCGGTCGTGTAACAAACCTTACTAATTGGCTGTGTTGGGTGGTGGCGGGTTTAACGACACATTTACGAGATCTAACCCCCCCGCCACCCCAAGGAAAAGCTTGATTATTGGTTGCGAAAGTCTACGTAAAAATCCGTTTTGGAGAATTCAATGGGGGTCACAAAGCATCTGGACCACCCGACAGTGTGATCGGTGAAAAAGTTGACAACCATACTGCCCCAAGCCTCCTCCTGTGTCCACCCACCCGCGTGGCCGCATCTCACCTGCCTGCCGACCCATGCGGGTGACGGCTGCATGTGCCTCCTGCACCTGCTCGTCGCTCGTGACATCGAAGGGCAGGACGCGCAGGCGGTCGCTGCTCTTGCTCGCGAGCTCGCGGGCCCCTTCTCCGTGTGGCTGCAGGCAGCCGGCCAGCACCCGGACTCCCATGCCGTCCAGACGCCTCGCCAGCTCGAAGCCGAAGCCGCTGTCGCAGCCCGTGATGAGCACCGCCCGGTCGCGCAGGGAGACGCGGGGTGCGCGGGTGAGGACCGATTTCACCACGATTATGATTATGCGCACGAGGAGGCGATTGCCACCAGCAGCACCATCGCATACGATCCACGCAGCATCGACATGCCTGCAGATGCCGCGCCCACGGCGACGGTCAGCCACAAGTTGTTTTCAGCCATCCTTGTGTCTGTCGCGTGTCAACACGAATGGGATGGCTTCTGAATGCGCCACCGTCACAAAGTGCGCTTGTACGAGAGCACGTGCTTCTCTCTTGGTCGAAGTGCGGAATGCGCCTTGGGTGGTTGGGGTTCGTAATCGCGTGGAATCTACCAACTCAAACAGTGGGGTTCGGTATGCAGAGGTGTTGTCGTTTTTTTTTCGTTCGCTCCGAGCTCATACAATGCCCTTGAGAGTATCTGCCATGACCCACTTTTAAAAAAAGTAAGTTAGTAGAAGTTTGCTTACGTGCGTTAAAACTTAATTCATCAGCGCATTCATATCCGCGGTGAGGCTAATTGGTCAGAATGTGTTCGACTACATCGCTTTGTGTTGTTTTTTTCAAGCATAACCCTAATACGTAATTCCTCCAGACTCTTTCACCATTCCATTCGAGAATATCCTTTTTAGAGTTCGTATGAACTCAGTGTATTTCATAATCCACAACGAACCCCTGTGATGTGTGTTAATCTGGCGACTAAAGCACATCACGCAATACTTTTCGTATCTTATAACGGGAGGTTCAGTTGCGTACCTGTCAACCCCTTATCAGTGCCCTACCTTATTACAGACCAATTCAGACCTTATTGGTTACCACGTGGCCTTGTACATATCAACGTTCATCCGACAAATTCCCATCACAAGGTAGAAACACAAACAGAAAACATGTTGCCCGTATTGAAACGGCTGTACGCCGTATGCACCTGAAAACTAAACTTCTTTGTACAATAATAGGGGTAAACCGTATGGGTTGTTGACAGGTATGCGGTTGAGAGGGCGAAGAGGAAGGACAGTGAGAGGGATGCAGATAAGGAATGCACCTCCGATTATCACGGTGAGCGACGTGCGGTGCGAAAGAAGTTCAACATACGGTACATACCACACGAGCAACGAAGAGAGATAGAGAACATCATGCGGTCGTGGCGAGAGAGCCAGAGACCAGGGCGGAAAGAGCGAGATAAGTGGTGTCTCAATTCAGCGGAGTGAGGGAGTGTGAGCGAATGACATCGTTTAATGGCCACGAGAGAGGGCACCTTGAATATCGTGTAAATGCCATCTTAGAGCACACGGAACCAGAGCGGAATCAAGTCGTGTGTCTTCTTGGTTCCTTCGGTTAAGTCACGTAGAAGGGAAGTAATAAAATAATAAAATAAAACATAATAAAATAATTCTCACGACGTTTCGGCCACAACGCAAGCAGCCGTCCTCAGGTGAAGACCAGGTCTGTCGGGGGGACAGAGTCTGAAAGTCTGAAAACGCTGTCTCCCCGACAGACCTGGTCTTCACCTGAGGACGGCTGCTTGCGTTGTGGCCGAAACGTCGTGAGAATTATTTTATTGTTTTATTTTTATTATTTTATTATTTCCCTTCTACGTGACCTTACCGAAAGAACCAAGAAGATGAATCCCTGCAGTCATGAAAGCTTAAAATCGAAATTTAAGTCGTTGTGGTGAAGTACAAACCATAACAAACAAAAAAATCACCGACATCCATGCAAACATCCTGCAAGTGCTGGGGAAATCCGTACAGCGTCTCGACTGACGCCTTGGATTGGTTGACCAAAACTTAGCAGTCAACTCCAACGCGTTTCAACACTCTTTGCTTTTCCCTCCTACAGTGCGAAAGAAGAAGACGGCAAACCAAGCATTGTGTGTTGTTGGTTCTTATTTACGCTGGTTGCATACCTGTCAACCCATACGGTTTCGCCCGTATTCATGTGTACAAGGAAATTGAGTTTTCAGGTCCATACGGTGTACAGCCGTTTCAATACGGGCAAAGAAATTGTGTCTATTTGTTTGTGTTTCTCCCTTGTGATGGAACTTTGTAGGGTGAACGTTAATATTTATGAGGGCAATGGGGTCTCAATTTGGTCTGTAATAAGGTAGGCACTGATAAGGAGTTGACAGCTATAGGTTGCAACATATTAAAGTGTGCGAAGAGACTGCAATAGACTCTACAGTGAAGGGGGTGGCATTTCTACCCAGTTCACAAATAATTCCTTTATTTGTCACCAGGAGGCGTGCTAGTTGCGTGACAGTGGTGAGAGCATTGTAAAGTTCAACAAGGAACCCAGAGGGCTTCATTGTGGAAGTAGTGGAGAAACTTTTGAGCGTGCTGGTGGTGCAATTACACGGGGGTCCATGGGCCCAAAGGGGCCAAACACCGAGCTATAAATAGGGGGGAAAGGTGGAAAGGGGTCCCCATTTAATTCCTTGTTACAGGTCCACATGCCAACCACACTAACGCCACTGGCGTGTGGCTCTGTTAGTTGTATGAGGTCTTCATCACGCTAAGCGAGTTTGGTCATAACGTGGGCTGGCAATGCAGGCAATGGAGTTAAATGCCATACAGTTTTAATATGAAGTGTATAGGTTTCAGGCCGCAGTATAGTGGTTGTAGGTGATGTTACATCACATGCGATAAGCACGGTTGGCTACGGTGCAAAATAAGTTCAACATACATTAAGAGGAAAAAGTGTAACTTTACATTCTGGAACAGCAGAAACCAGTAAGATTGTATAGAATGTCTATTGTAACGCTCTCGTATTTTATCAAGTATACTCGGTTAAAGAATACAGGATTGCACGATTTGTAGCATTAATAAATAGTGGGTAGACTTGCATGTGCTTTTAAAACTTTTTTTTTATCTCAATTACTTTCTGATATTTCCATTGGCGTCCATTTAATGAAACAAAACGTGTACATTTCTGAAGTGGCTGTGGTTAGGATGCGGCTTATTTATTACAACGGTTTGTATTCAGTATCAATGTACAGATACGTGCAGTACTTTCTGTACAATAACATCGCACAACCCCAGTAAAGTGTGTCTACGTTTGTTATTCTAAAAGATCTTAATACCTGCTCCATAAGTCGCATTCCTCAGATAAAACTCGCTACACCCTGTGCTCCACCTTTTGTCAACCTATGTCCCAAATCATGCAGCGGTCTTGATTTCTCTTTCAGCTGCAGCTAACCATCTCGCTCTATCTCTCTCTTAAGCTCCCCAATTCATACACAACTGTAGCCTCTCTTTCTCTCTGCCCATATTATCTTTCCTCTCCCGACTCTGCCTTCCAGAGTTGTTGTAGCCTTTGCCTGTGTAGCCAGTATGGGCTTAACGGAATAAATCACACCCCGAATTGTCCATAATATAGTTTTTTTTGGGGGTTAGATCTCGTAAATATAAATGTGTCGTTAAACTCGCCAAAGTTGAACAAAAACAACAAGATGGCATCGTTAACATCGTGGTACTTGTTGAATTTTAAATACAGGATGCTTCAAGAAAAATGTTAACACTTCTGAGAATTTGCAATAAATGTGCCTCCGGGCTCTGGAGACCACCTGGAGAAGATTCCAGGCACGCGTTGACAACGATGGCGAACAAGTGGGACACTGTTTGACTTTTTGAAGCTATTAACATACATTTGTTATGTTACAGTGTATTATCCGTTCTTTTTCCATTAAAAACGATAGTCTTATATAAGTGTTCACATTTTTTGAAGCACCCTGAATATACGAGTGCCAACACGCTGTCTAGTTTAATAAAGTCAAGTTAATTCAGTGGATATACAGTAATGGGAAGGTGATTAGAGTGCTATAGTGATAAAAATAGTTCATTTTGTGATGGTTGATTAAATTGAGTGATATTTAGATATATTATTGTGGAAAAGAAACTCGCATATAATGGTCGCACGTCAGTGGTTGCTAGGAATTACATCAGCACTCCTGCTCCACCAGCCAATTAGGGGGCGCCACGGTGGCGAGACGTTAACTACCTCGCCTGGTGTACGGGAGGTCGTGGGTTTGATCCCAACACTGACGCCTGTATATTTGGAGTTTGCATGTTCTCTTCCCCGTGGTCGCATGCGTTCTTCTCCGGGTCCTCCGGCTTTCCCCTCCACAATTAGAAACATGCGTATCGAGTATTTGGCTCCTATAAATGTGCACGTGGTAAGCCACTTCGTTGAGTTATCATTTGTGGCCAGGTCACTGCTGAAAAAGAGCTATATAGCTCAGTGGGCCTGACCTGGTAAAATAAGGGGCCGAAGGAGAATCCTGGCACGCAATTGCATGCTCAAAAGTGAAGGCGGGCTCTCGACTGAATCACGCACCTGGGGGGGGGGTGGGGGTCAGATATTTGTGACGATGGGGGGAAGGTTGAGAAATGTGACGTCACATGCGCAACTTTGAATAAATATAGACAACACGTTCTACTTAATTAAATTAACTTTTCAAACATTCCTGCGGAGGGAGCTGGTAGGAACGTTGGGTTGCTCTGTCAATGGCCAGGGTCAACGGCGGCGTGGTGCATTCCGCAAATATGGCCGACTGTGGGGCCGGCACAAGCCGGCGTGAGTAGGTTAAACGTTGAGTTGTATAAGGGCACCACGGGGTGACCATCCCCTCCCCACCCAGCCCCACCCTCCCACCCCCCACCCAGCCCCACCCTCCCCACCCAGCTCCTCCCCACCCTCCCCTCCCCACCCAGCCGCTCCCCACCCTCCGCAACCTCCCCTCTCCACCCAGCCCCACCCCTCCCATTTTTCGATTCACGACGGACGGACACAATAATCCCCTGTGGCTGGTGTAACCAGGAGGTTCCTACCAGTATAAATGTTTTCTCCTAGAACATCAGAGTTCAGCGCCACATTAAATACGCACTACAATGACAATAGTTTAAAGCGATTTGAAGGATGTTTTATATATTTGGGGGGGGGGGGTATGCGGCAGAGGATAATATAATCAAGCCGATGAACTTATTTTTATTTACAGAGCTGAAGCAAGTCAACTTATGTGAAAATTACATACTCTCCAATGGTTTAATGTGCAGCCATTGCGAGTGGGCTAATGCAATCGGTTCGTTACACACGACACCCTGGTTAAATCATGGATGTCTGCCCTGGCTCAGGATATTATTTTACACAAAGGTTTTGAAAAGTAAAACAACATCATACAAAGTAGATACTTTGTTACTCATAAACATACGGTAATATTACGACAGTATTAGTTGAGGCATGAATATTTAAACTACGGTACTTTATAGTATCAAAAGCATTTTCAAAACAATGTTCCGCTAGAAATGATGGATCATTTAGGGACAACTCATTTTCCACAGTTAATGCAGGCAAATATCGGTCGTGAATGTATTACTTATCTTGTAAATTATGCTAGTGCAAGACATTTATGAAATGATTGTTCATACAAGATTATCTATTCCTTATTTTAGTAAATTGTCACTGCAAGACAATGTTTTTTTGGGGGAACGGAAATAACACGGTCATGGTTTATTAAATACAGTACACCTGACATTTTTTAAACAAGCTTTTCCAACCAGTTTTAACCGTCAGAGCATTTTTTGGGCTAAACAGGAGCAGCAGTGAAGAAGCAGGGCCAATAAAGGACCTTCCCATCATTTGAGTTGCACTAAAAGCAGCGTCAAAGGTGCTGCCTTGCAATGATTCTCCCGCAGAGACAGCCGACTTCACGCTGACAGGGATATTAGGGTTACCATGGGGAGGAGGCGGCATGCTGGGCACAAAAGGGAGTAGGCGTCCCTCTTGCGCGCGAGCAGAACAATGTCCCAGCCGCCGGAATGTGGCACATAATGGTCCCAAACTTCCCATG